GTTACTTAATTAGCTCATTGAGACCCAGTTGTTCAGTACACCGGGTTCATTTAGTTACTTCAAATATCGCAGCTTTATAAACATTTAAAAGTGAAGTCAGCCACTAGCCCGTTGTACATTTGTGGAGGGTTGGAACATAAGAGATCTCCCAATCTTATATGTAAATACATACACACACAAACTTTATTAAGACCACCAGTCTTATACAGATTCACCACAGGAAGAAAGGAAGCATAGATGGAACTCCTGTTACGTTATGTAATATATCCCACCGCCATTATAATGGTATTACTTGGAATGTTGTCATTGTTGTATACTTGAGGTGAAATGGCTCAGGCTTGATGGAATAATTTCTTTTTAGCTATTTAATATGGTTCTTTATTTCTCTCGGGCCTGAAAGCTCAAACTTTTTCACAATGAGATATCTATAAATAAATATAAATTATTAACATGTTGACATATTAAGAAAAATGGCATTTCCTGATCGTGCAACTGAAAGTTGCTGATGGTTTGCGTCATCTATCGGCACAAATATCAACCAATCATTGATTTTTAATTATTCCAGAATTAGCAAGTTTGAATTGGAAATTTGCACAATCAGGAAATGCTATTTTTCTTAATTTATCTACCCGATCCAAGTACAAATTCACTTTTGTTCTATTTCCATGTTGACAAATGTTTATAAGTATTTCTACTGTCCCTTCAAAACTTATGTCCATTAGTTCATTTAAAATATCTTTTCCAAGAGGTCAACTTCACTATATATCGTTATAAAAGGAAAACAGCCAAATACAATATAACAGCGGTATGGGTAGATTAAACTGGCGAAACCGCTTGGAAGGTTCACTATTGATGAGCCAGGCCCTCCCATTAATTTATCATTGCACAAAAGACAGTAGAAAATTATTTAATTTAAAAAAGAATTATACGCGACAAAAATAGTTTACATTTCTTAAGACTTTGAGAACTGGATGTAGTGGTGAATTATATTACTTGAGGAAAGAGTAAGCCGTTTTGTGATGAATTTATTTCCAGGTTCCTGGATCAATCACAAGAACCTCCACAACCACATGGCTTTGGGCCATCGACAAATGAGCCAATATGGACGCCATATGTGTCTAAATTAATAAAGCAAAAGATGACACAAAAATGTAAAACGTCACAAATTAGATAAATGATCTATAAAAATAAATCTGATGACGCCAGCTACGATGCGGTATAATTTGCTTATTTCAAAGTCATTCCGAAGTCATATCGTGACACAGTAGACCCGTGGCTCCATCTATGAACAAATAGTATAACTATTTATACATTCTATGTTATAATTTTTTTTTTTTTTTTTCATGTGAATCGTTTTATTTTAAATTATTATTATATGTTATATATAAGTATAAATTTACAAAATTATTTTAATTCTTTAAAGTGTTTATATATATATATATATATTTTTATTATTATTTTTTTGCCTCTAACACTTTTGTATTCCATGAAATGACAAAATAAAAGTTTAATGTTCAATAGCTTATTTTAAAATGAATATGTCACTATAATTAGTGATTATAAACAAGTTTGTAGTTTACTTAACATCTTCCTACCTGAAGTTCAGCAAATGTGCTAAAAGTTTTATTTATTCATGTTTTATATATAAATAACAAGAAATTTTCTATTTAAAACATGAAAATAAATAAAAGTTTTAGCCCATTTGATGAACTTCCAGTAAGATGTAACACTAAGTAAACTACAAACTTGTTTATAATCATTCATTATAGTGAATTATTCATTTTAAAATTCTAACTACGAACTTCAACAAAAAGTCCAATATGCAATTTAGAGTGAGTTCATGCACAAGTTAGGAAATAGAATTCCAAACCGTCTCTCGTAGCAACGTTGTAGGAGGTGAGCTTCTTACATCGATCGTCTGCTGTTATAAAACATCTGTCTACAGTCCATGTGTATATTTGTGGTAATATTTTATATATACATAAAATTGACACAATACATGGACAAAACTTAAGGAAGTTGTACCTTTCAGCATATATATCGGGACAATAACTCTGAAAGATATTACAGTGACCTTTATTGAAGACACACGAGATAACCAATATACACTCATGGAGACAAAACTTAAGGAAGTTGTAGCATGTATATCGGGACAATAACTCTAAAAGATATTACAGTGACCTTTATTGAAGACACACGAGATAACCAAGTGTGAACAAAATAGCCTCTGTCTCCTTCAAACAGACAAAAAAAAAAAAACAGATGACCGACGACTTCAAAGACTCCACTCTCTCTCTCTCTCTCTCTCTCTTTCTTAAGTTTTGTCCATTTTTTATTTTTAAAATTATTATTATAATAAAGCTTTCGAGTAAATACGCCCTCGCATGCACACACCGATATTTCTTTGCAAATCGCTTCATTTTCTTCCGTCAAATTATATTTATTATAAGCCCGAAGAAGAATAATATTTGTTCGAAAGATTGCTATGATTGTCTTTAATCACAGTTTCTCCAAGTCCTGTTAACTGCCTCAGCATGGCAGGGCCCAGGGCAGGATGTCTTGTACTCCTGGCTCACCCTAGACATGAAGGCTGATGTCCTAATAAATCCAGCTAAATGTTAACAGACAAAGTCTACCTTTGTGTGATGTTCCCATCAACAGCAACCAAATACTCTACGAATTCTACTTTTACCAGGTCTATTAGTATGAAACGCGAAAATGGGCGCCAGAGGCCGCTGTGCAACTTTATTTGAGCCGACGGTGGCGCTGTTGTAGGCGTTTTGTTCTTTGACTCATGTGGCATCAGCATGCGTGCAGTTTTAGAAAAATTCAAATCGTGAAAAATTTCTGGAGCCCGTGGAAAATGGCGATTTCCGAGCCAAAAAGTGCCCATTTGCGGGAAGTTTTGTTTTTCGCCTTCAACTGGAAGAAAAGTGCCACTGAAGCCCACCGAATGCTCGAGGAAGTTTACAGCGACCACGCTCTGAGCAAATCGCAGTGTTACAGGTGGTTTAAAAAATTCCAAATTGGCGATTTTGAACTTAATAATGAACCACATAGAAAACCGCCCCAAAAGTTCGAGGACGTTGAACTGCAAGCTTTGTTGGATGAGGACAGTACCCAAATGCAGGAGAATCTCGCAAAACAGCTCCAGGTGTCTCAAGGTGCTGTTTCTCTACGTTTAAATAGCCTCGGAATGACCCAAAAGCTTTCCAGATGGGTCTCCCACGAGTTGAGCGAAAGGCAGCAATAACGGCGTCTGGTAACCTGCGAAGGGCTGCTCGCCAGGCATTAAAAAAGTCATTTTTGCACCGAATCGTAACTTCTGATGAGAAATGGATCCACTTCAGCAATCCTACGTGCCAAAAGACGTGGGGCCTGCCCGGCCAATTTCCAAAACAGACGCCTAGGCCCAATCGCTTCGGAAAAAAAGCAATGCTTTGCGTATGGTGGGACCAGACCGGCGTAGTATATTTCGAGCTCCTGAAACCTGGCGAAACGGTCAATACTAGTCGCTACGAACAGCAAATGCACAGTTTGAGAGAGGCGTTGAATGAAAAATACCGGAGTGGCGTGAAAAGCACAACAAGCTGATACTGTAGCATGACAACGCTCCAGCCCACAACGCTACGATGGTCAAAAACACCATAAAAGACTTGGGCTGGGGACTCTAACCCCACCCGCCGTACTTACCAGACTTAGCGCCGTCGAAATACCACCTTTTCACATCTTTAGGACACGCCCTAAAAAAACAGGAATTTTCGAACTCAGACATACTCCGAAAATGACTTGTTGACTGGTTCGACTCAAAAGGAATAGAAATTGTCAGACAAGGAATTCGAAAATTACCTGAAAATTGGTCCGAGTGTATAGCTAATCAGGGCAGTTACTTTGAATACAAAATCTTTTGTTGTATGGAATTGGTGAACTTTTGAATTCACTGAAAATTTTCGCGTTTCATACTAATAGACCTGGTATAAAATCTAGAGAAGACTTCCAGAATTTAGAACAAAACACTATAAAGTAATGACAATACATCCAGATGGCACAAGAGCCTATAAAACATGTAACAACTGTCCTGGTGTGGAACTAATACGTACCCACATATTCTCATGCCCAGCAATGGCCGCAGCCTTGCAGAAAATATGACTTAGACCCAGAGCAGCAGCTTTACACACCCAAGATAGTGGACATTGCTGCTTCTGTGATGGAGATGCATGGAGACATCTGAGACTGTTCTTTGGACACGACAACAACAACAAGACTTCCAGACCGTCTGCTTCAATAAAACAGTCTGCTGGAACTTCCCGGCTGAGAGATAAAAAAAAACTAAGGTTTATCAAGGCAGACGATAGTTGAGCACAAAGTGCCCAATATCTCGTCTGTCAATCAACAACTCTATTGTTAGATCGAGCAGACGACCAAATAGACAGAATTGAATACAGTTGGCACAAGTCCAACTGCCATTAGCTCTGTATTTGCATATCTCCGCGTGCTCTTCATTCTTTTAAAACCTTTTTTAAACATCACCGGTTGGATCAGGGCAATAAGATTTTTTTTTTTTAATGTCTTCCAAGCTTGTCTTTAAGTCTTTTATCTAAGCCAGTCTACATTAGAAGAATAAATCCTGTTGATACGTTTGTTAAGAGATATTTGACCTATTTTTTACGCTTATGGTTCTTCTTGTAATAAAACAATGTTCTACTAACCTTATTGCAATAATAAATTAATGGGAGGGCCTTCCCATTGCAAATATAAGTACAGTAAAAAATAAAAGTCGATGGACGAGTGGGTAACACCCTCGATTCCCGACAGTCATGAACCGGGATTGAATCCCACTTTAACATTTTGTTTAATATGTGAATAACCTTCACATTCATTGTTGCAATGATCATAAACTAGGTTGCTCTTGTTGAGCGGTACCTGATAAAGTGATTTTGAACAGGATAAGAACAGTAAAAATTGTTTTATTTCTTCTTTTTTTTTTTTTTTTTTTGCCTACGGCCAAACCACATTGAAAACACCGGATCTCGTCCGATCACCGGAGTTAACCAATGTCGGTCAGTACTTGGGAGGGTGACCACCATCGGGTGTAGCTGTAGACTATTACCTTTTTTCCCAGGTTCGGATCCTGGCAGGCTCGTCTTTTTATCATCCATTCTGATTAGAAGCCCCGTAAATAAAGATATTTCCGTTTATTTCTAAAAGAAACACGCGTCAAAATTAGTTCCAATTTCATATTACAGATGGCGCACTGATACATCGTCTGTTTGTTTTATTTAGCCAAGGCTTCAGGCGTTGAGATAACAACATTCAAGAGGGATTCTATCTTCCAGATGAGATAGAACACTCTACCTTTATTTGGTTACGTCAAATAACGCTATCGTCTGAATGGATTTGTTTTTCAATGGATCCAGCAGGTACTCTATACCATATATATATATATATATACAGTAGAACATACTCCTTGAGAGGACACTCACGCTAGAGGACACCTCTCCACAAAGGACAGTTTTCACATTTACAAAATTACCATTTTTACTATTGGCAGAGCGCCATCTAGTACAGCAAAAATAAACTAAAAAGCACATGTGCAGGAGATGCCTTCTTTATTTTTAATATCAACACCTGTCCCACTTATCTTTTATTTTTTTCTATTGTTTTTTCATATTATATAAGTGTGTATTTATCATAATTTTAAATATCTCTCAGTTTAGATGACATTTATAATACAATATAATGTGGCTTATGATTTTAAAACAACGTTTGACAGATTTTACCGCAAATGTTTCTTTTGAACGAAAAATCTTAATTTATATTAAAGAGAAATAACGACTATTTCTAACCTTAGGGATAAAGTATGAAAGGATGAATTGTGAAGAGTAATGATAAACGGAAAATAAAAGTGTACAGGTAGTCCAATCCCTGGACACTTTTATTTTTCCGTTTATCATTACTCTTCACAATTCATCCTTTCATACTTTATCCCTAAGGTTAGAAATAGTCGTTATTTCTCTTTAATATAAATTAAGATTTTTCGTTCAAAAGAAACATTTGCGGTAAAATCTGTCAAACGTTGTTTTAGATGAGATTTCTTTAGCCAAAAGTTATTTTCTCCTATCAATCAACATTCGACGCTGTTCTCTAACTTTAAAGGTGTAATCCTTATTTGTATAATTCCTTGATTCCTTGATCAATTTTATATATTTATTCATCTATATTAGTCTTTTATACATAAAACGAACTTCTACTGTCCTTACTGCGATGAAAAAATAGATTGGGAGGGCTTGGCTCATCAGTGGTGAACCCTCCCAGCGGTTTCGCCAATTTAATCCACCAGACCGCTTCTCAGAGCTCTAATATTGTATTGGATCATTCTGCTTTTATATGCTACACTGAAGGATGGAATCTTAGAAATGGTTTTCAAGTAAACTATGGACATAAGCTTATAGGACAGTAGAATTATATTCAAATATTTGCTTCGAGCAATGCTCTTCAGCAAACTATAAAGACAAGGTCATTGGGAATAAATTAATACAAAGCTATAACGCGCCATCTATACATATAAAATAAAAGGATTTAAAAGCGCGAATGTTTCTTTTATACATAAAACGAACTTCTACTGTCCTTACTGCGATGAAAAAATATATTGGGAGGGCTTGGCTCATCAGTGGTGAAGTTTGCTGAAGAACATTGCTCGAAGCAAATATTTGAATATAATTCTACTGTCCTATAAGCTTATGTCCATAGTTTACTTGAAAACCATTTCTAAGATTCCATCCTTCAGTATAGCATGTAAAAGCAGAATGATCCAATACAATATTAGAGCTCTGAGAAGCGGTCTGGTGGATTAAATTGGCGAAACCGCTGGGAGGGTTCACCACTGATGAGCCAAGCCCTCCCAATCTATTTTTTCATCGCAGTAAGGATAGTAGAAGTTTTTTTTATGTATAAAAGAAACATTCATGCTTTTAAATCCTTTTATTTTATATGTATAGATGGCGCGTTATTGCTTTGTGTTACTATATTATTCTATCTATCTTTTATGTAATCATATTTATTTACATATATTTTATATTTAACCCTATATATAACCTTATATGAACGAGAGAGACATAGCAAAGAGAATAGATGTAATCTCACACCTATATATTGTAACAAAGTATTAATTAATTTTATTATTTTTATAAACAGAGTGGTCATTTTTTATGTTTATATTTTGCTACTCTGTAAATTTCTCTCGTGGCTTATCTTTTGTTTATCACTCATAGTTTGTTCTTTCTTGCCTGAAATTATACCTTCAAATGCAAAATTCAAATAATCCAACCATACAAGATATTCTACAAAATAAAGGAGATATCGATTCCGACGACCCGGCCCTGACACTTAGTCAAGAGCTCATCGCCCAACAGCTGCCCTCCTGCAAGGCTTAGGGGGACCACTTCTACTCCACCAACTCGCCATGTGTAAATAGCCAGGACAAGGTGACTCGCGAGCTGTGCTCGAATGTAAAACCTGTAAATTGAGACGAAATAAAAAAAATAATAATAAATTGTTGTCTCATCCTGAAGTTGGTCTTCCCTAATTTTCCACGTGGCAATATGTAACCGCTGTCACTTAATGCCACCGCTGTCCTGGAGAGTCATTCTGCCACCTTGCCTGGTCACGTAATGTGTCTACTGGTCCATTGTATGGTACAGTACTAAACTCGTGGAGACAATACTTAAGGAAGTTGTACCTTTTTTCCTCCCCCTCTGCCCGCAGCAGACCACTTTTGCGGTTTTTATTTTGACGTCATCATTTTGAGTTTAAATACAAATACGGGTGTACAGGTTGTATTAATAAAGATTTACCATATATACAAAATGGATTCATGGATGGCTTTTCTTGATTTATCAAGAAATTGGGTTGGCCAAATATCAGGGAACAGGCTAAACCAATGTTTAGTTGATTTCTGTTCCACCAGATGGCGCTCTGCCTTCTGTAAAGCACATGTGCTCCTGGTCAGGATATGCCATTTTTAATATATACAAAATATGGGGGTGGTAGCAAATAGAAACGGTGTACATTTTAATAGAAGGTAGGATCTTATAAGGTATCGGCTCTAACTAATTGGAAGATATGTGAAATATGATAAGAGTGTCATTACCATACAGTTTAAAATATACTACATATATATTGCAATGTATGACGCCATTATAACTACCAATCAGAGAACTTATAATCGAATATGATAAACCTAAATCATTTTACAATTTGATGCCACAAGAAAGGATTATATTCCACCAGTTGTCGCAACCAACCAAACTATGTAAGTACCTGGCTACTTGTGGCGTACTGACAGTAGCAAAGATCCCCCGTAATTCCCATGTGTACTCGGGAGAGATGGCAGCAGAAGAAAGGCCACGAACAAGAAGAGACATTTTATTGCAATAAAAGGATCCGAGAGGTCTTCCTTGCAGCGCTAGAGGTCCCTAAGAGGTGGAGCTACATGTCTTTTCAGAAGAGGAAGTTCTTGATTTCGTCGTACAACACCAGCACCAGGGCGCCACCTGTGCCTCTCAGGACGTTGGAGAAGGCTCCCTTGAAGAAAGCCTTGGGGCCCTCGTCCTTGTAGATCTTGCCCCAGCAGTGCGGCGTGCTGCGGTACTGGCGCTCGTTCACGGGACGCCCACTCTGCATCATCATCCTCCGGCGTACGGTGTCGAAGGGGTAGGAGATGACGCCGGAGACGGTGGTGACAGCTTGGGCGATGGCCCAGGAGACGACAAACGGCGTGTTCTTGGGGTCGGGGAGCATGCCCTTGGCGGTGTCGAAGAAGCCGAAGTAGGCGGCTCTGTAGATGATGATGCCCTGGACGGAGACGCTGAAACCTCGGTAGAGACCTCCGAGGCCGTCGGCCTTGTGGATCTTAGTGAGGCAGTTGCCCAGGCCGGTGAACTCCCTCTGGCCTGCGCCCTTGCCGATGTCGGCAGCGAGCCGCGTCCTGGCGAAGTCGAGCGGGTAGACGAAGCAGAGAGAAGTGGCACCAGCGGCACCGCCGGAAGCCAGGTTTCCCATGAAGTATCTCCAGAACTGCTTGTTCTTGTCCACACCTCCCAGGAAGATTTGCTTGTACTTATCCTTGAAGGCGAAGTTGAGGGCCTGCGTGGGGAAGTAACGGATCACGTTGGCCAGGTTGCCGCGCCAGAAGGCCAGCACGCCCTGCTCCTTGGGGATCCGCACGAAGCAGTCGATGATACCTGGAGACACCCGGGGTTAGCTTGGTGGGAGATATGCAAATCAGGTTGCTAAGTAATGAAGGGCATATATGGTACATATGCAATTTAGACTGATAAGTAAGGGAGGGCATATATATGGGATATATGCAATTTAGGCTGCTAAGTAAGGAGGGATTTTTGGGACATATGCAATTTAGACTGCTAAGTAAGTGGGGATATTTGGGACATATGTAATTTAGGCTGCTAAGTAAGGGGAGATGTTTGGAAGATAACCAAATCACAGAACACAATCCGATTGGCAATATCAAAAAACGAAATTATGAGGATGTAGGATAGACTTGAAGCAAATAGATAATAGCTATTTTTTATTTATTATAAAAAAATGCAACAGAAGGGTTCTTTGTTCTATACAGATATTCGGGAACATATGCAACTCAAATATTCTGGAGTGAAGTGTGTAAGACAGGAATACCGACCACATGTAATTAAGGGGAGAATATATGTGCAAATATTGAACGGTTAAAAGTGTGTGTGGTCACATATATCGTTGGTAGGTTTGAGACTCCTAAATGCCAAGGTTCTCTGTATGATGGAAGATTTCAACTGAAGAGACAATGTGATCACCTAATGTGTTGACATTCCTTAAAATTGGGATTGAAGAATGGGCGACAGAAAGTTGGTTTTAGGGATCAAATTGATTGAGGAAGAGAATTTATTTGACATGAACCCAGAGCAGTAGCTTTACACACCCAAGTTAGAGGAAATTTCTGCTGCTGTGATAGAGATGCATGGAGACATCTGAGTCTCTTCTTTGGACACGACAACAACAACAAGAAGAGAATTGATTGGAGACGATTGAAAGAAAGAGCCTGTTTGTC